GTAATGACATTGGCAACATAGGGGCTACTTTATATTCCAGCTGGATTTTGAAATACAAACTTTAGGGTACTAATGTTATATAGAGAGAGCAATTTTCAGTTTATGGATTGAGGTTGGGAAGAAAGGTTTTATTATTCAGCTTCAAAAATGAAAAACTGAGGTTCACTGAGACTAAGCCATATACCCAAGGTGCTAATAAATGATGGATCTGAATCCATTTTTTTTTTTTAAATTTTCAATACCAAAGCTTTTCTCACAATAGATAATGCCATGGGACCTGAAGGCAGACTGAACAGGCCTAAGGAATCATGAATGAATCAGGCATACTTGGGCAAGAAAGGCAAGAAATGCTAGCCAAAGCAGGAAGAGAATACCAACATAAAAGGACAGTAGCTGGCACTCTTTATGGTCATACAGGACAACAGGAAGAAGAATCTAGACAGGCTCCAATCCTTATAGCCTCAACTTCCACAGGCCTAAGGTCCTCTGCACCCTGATCTGAATAGAAGGAGCCCTAGCTTGAATATCTGCCTGTTCTTAGCAACCCAGGCTGAAGAGAGCCCTGGGTCACACATGGTTTCAATCACAGAATTTATCTGCATCTTTGTCATTGTATTTGGAAGATGACTGAATCCTCATTCTTGTCCCAAGCCTTTCCAAATTGTACAGGGATACAAGTTAAATCTGGAAAAGCTACCTCATCTTTGGCAGGCTGAAAATAGGGAGAGGCTTCAGGAATGTACAGTAATGTCCCACCCACACCCCTTCCCCCTTTATTAAAACAAATCCGAAACAATAAATTTCTAAAATTTTCCACTCTATCATTTTATCTGCCTTGTTATAACCATGCCCTTGTCCACACCCCACGAGGGTTTTCTGCAGCTCCAGGGAAGCTGGGAAGTGTCTGCTCCCAGTTTTCAGTCACTCCCATAATAAACAATTACTAAACAGCTTGCTGCCCTAGGCAACTGTTTGTCCAGCTTGGCCAGGGCCTGAGACTTCAGCTAGCTAAGAGGGTGGGAGGAGTCCCCTGTAGACTAGAATTCAGGTTCTGAGGCCAAAGAGCTTGGTTTTGACCAGAGATACTATTGGGGAACCTAGCATATTCTATCATCCTGGAATATCTTTAGGGCATCTCGGGTAAAATGCACAGGGTTCGGGGGCAGGAGCTCGGGGCTGGGGAATGGGAGGTCAGCTGAATGCCGAACCATCTCTTAAGAAATAAGTTACAATTCCCTGTCAGTAAGTTTCTCTTCTACAGCCCGGACAGTGGGCAGTGGGCTGTTCTATTGGTGTATCTATCCCTGCGAAACGTCTAAAAACCACCACCACCCCTGCAGTCACCACCAAAAGAGTAACAACACTCTGAGGACTGGGACAAGCTTAAGTTAACCGCTTTCTCTTGAGCCATTAGAAAATTTCTACCCCGTCTACCCCCGCCGTGATTACAGCTTTCTCTGAATAGATGGAGGAGGTTGGACATCGAGTAAGTGATGCCGATGTAAATGATGAGGATTTAGAATAGGTGTCTCCTACTTTAGCACACAGTGGCAGGCATGAAGAATTGTTAACAATTCCTCTTCATTCTTGAGAATTAGGGTGTCTTCTTGGGAAAGAAAGAAAAATGGGCTACGGAGGAGCATAAGGGACACTGTTGAAATGCTTAGTAGGAAAGGAGACTATGGGCCCTCCAGGGTCCACGGTGGGTTAGGGGAGGCATCCTTCAGATCCGCGGTCGCTTCCTATCAAATCTTTTTCCCCTTCCCCCTCCCTCAGGCTCTCCCCACTTCTCCATTTTCAAGGTGCTTCTCCAGAAACCCGCATACTCTCTGCCCCCTGCTTGAGAGGGCGTTCGGGCGGGGAGACGGGTTCGTCTAGGGCGCCCGGGACAGCGCCGCGCGGGGCCCCGGCCAGTCCTTCCTTCTCCGGC